CCTTTCTGAGGTGAAAACCCGGTAAAAATACCCTCAGAGAACAAGTGAAAAATGTACTTTTAATTTGTGCATACATATTTCCTTTATAACTAGAAGAAATTATTCCTGCTTTCTTGTTTTCTTAGATATAACTTGTACACAATTTTTGTCTGCCTTTCTGAGGTGAAATTCCGATAGAAATTCCCTCAGAGAACCAGTGATTAATGTACTTTTAGTTTATGCAAACATACTTCCTTGATAACTGGAAAAAATTATTCCTGCTTTCTTGTTCTCTTAGATATAACTAACTTAATAAATTACTACTTTTACCTCAGCTGCACTTTTTATGTAAAATTTTTATTTAAACTAATTTTAGAGCTGAAAAGAAATTTTTCATAAAATTGTAAAAACAATTTTGTGTGTTTAAATATTTTATAAATTAACTTTTCCTTACAACAAATTAATTTAAATTTTCAACAAATTATAAACTAACAAAACTAATTTCGTAAAATATCATTAATACTAAAATTGAAAGTAAATTTTCCTGAAATCCCCCATGTAAATTATATAGTAACTGATAAAATCGTATTCTGTTTTCATTTTATAGGACATTTCCCACCAGGATACCAAAACGAAGTAAGGTTGATGTTCGGTCATTTGGACTCTGACAGTAGTGGTCTAATTTCACTTTTGAAACTTTACCAATTACAACACGATCGAAACGAACCTTGTCTAAAACCGTTCTTTGATTCGTGTGATACAGATGGGTAAGTTTTTTTTAATGTTTATATAATTTATTCAATATGAAAACATATATGCAGAAAATAGTCAGATTTTATATTTTTATACTTTTCGAATATCCTAAAAATTTATATTCAAAAGTCGAAAAAAATTTCTAACACCAAAACAAAACAAGCATGTGTAATCACATGAAATCGTGTTTCATTCCCCCATGTAGATTCCCATGTGGGGATTTTCAATAGGGCAAAAGAGGATTTGACACGAGATTTGATATGGGAAAATTTTTCCAAAAAATAAAAAAGAATTTCATATAATAATTGTCAGAAATGAATTGAACGGATATTAAAAGTCATTAGTACGAAATATTAGATTTTTCTAAAAATAGGCCGCAACGACTATAGGTGAAATAAAATGAAATGACCCAAAAACATAACATAAAGTTATTTGGATCTTATAGGTACCTTTTGCCGTGGAGCGTCACATTTGTGTTTTATTTCATTCGAAGAAATTCACCTTGAACTTTACTTTATTAGAAAGAGCACTTATTTAAAAAAAAAAAATTTTCAAAAATCAATTCTATGTTTTTATCGAATTATTGCAAAAAAAGTTTCTAAATAATAGACAAGAAATAGTCGAATCTATTATTACAGAAAAATTTTCTCCGCAGGGTATATAATTTTCTGAAGGGAAAAGGTATAATTTTGATCATTTCTTTTTTTTTTTTTTTATTTTTCTTAAACTATTTGATAAAATTTTGTGGAAGGAAAGTTTGCAAACGAAAAATTTTGTGTAGAACATTTTCTTTTGTGTACATTTGATATTTAAAAACGTAAATCCCTGTTGAAAATTGTATTAAATTTTTGCTAAAGCTGACTCTAAAAGTTGTAAAGAAACATTATTATTATGTACCGCTTGACTTGTTATTGAGTGTCCTTTACATCATCTAGTTCATCATTAAATACTAAGGTAAGTTAAATTTGTTAAATAAACATAGGGTCAGTAAATTATTTAATTTTCAAACTTTTTTAGATTTAATAAATTTCACTAATAATACTAAAAATAAAAAACATCTATTTTCAGAAATTGTTGTAACTTTAACTTTATAAATTCAAAAAAATCATTAAAAACTCTTTGAAAATGTTAATAAAACTAATAAAATGGATTTTAACCATGTACATCGTACAAAACTTTACCAATGGTCAAAAATTTCACTGGTTGGATAATTTCATAGAAAGCGTAAAACACGATAATAAAGAACATCAAGTACTACTTCTTTCAGATCAGAAACAAAGATACCAATCACTAACAACAGAAATTATAATTAAACAATTTTCAAAAAAATTAAATATCCAGCAAATAAGTTACGAAAACACAACTATACAAATGACAAAAAATTTAAGTCGTATATCCGAATTTTCTGATCCTCGTACAACAATGATTGTTATTATTTTATCACAGAGAAATGCAAATTTTCACGAAGTTGTTAAATTTTTAACTCAAATTTCAGCAGCAAAAAGACGATCAAGATGTTTAATTATCAGTAACGGAGAACAAGAGAAATCTGTTTGTAAAAAATTACTTCGATTCATGTGGTCTAAGAAAATTTTAGATGCAACAATTTTAGAAATAACTAAAACCTCTGCTATGGAAAATCAAATTGATAAATATTTTAAACAAAATAAAATGATAGCCAAAAATGTAATAATCCACCATTATAATCCATTTACAAAAATTTATCGAAGATCAAATTATTCGAAATCTGTAATTTGGTTTCCAGCGAAAGATCATAATCTTAATAAATACTTGATGAAAGTAGGAGTATTTGAATATTCACCATTTATCATAATGGATGAAATAAATAACAGTACTGTAAATAATCCCCGTGGGAATAGTATAGAAGTGATTAAAGCTCTATCAGAAGCTATGAATTTTGATATAATTTGGAAGACATCAACTCCATTAAGTATGTTTGGATATGTAAGTTGCAAAAAGGAGAATAGTGCAGGTCTCATGAAAATGTTGCTGTTTAGCGAAATTAATTTTCTTGCTCTCGAAGCCACGTATTATCAGTCTTGTCAAGATCAAATGATAGAATGGAGTAAAGGTGGTAGTCGCATTATTAGTATTGGTATTTTAGTACCAAATTTACCAAATACAACCAGAGTAGTATTAATGTACAGTCAAATTATCCGTTCATGTATTGTGGCTGTTTTTTTCTTGTTGACTTGGCAAATATTCCAAGGCTTCTCTAATGAAAGGAAAAAATTGAAATTACTGGAATTATTAGCCATAGTCTTCATCACGCCAGCAACAATTCAACCTCGTAGATCTGTTGAGAGAATTCTTTTTGCATCCATTCTCATTGGCTGTTTCATCTACTCCAGTGATTTGTTTACAATGTTGACGAGTTTCAGTATAAAAGAACCAAATGAAGAAGCAATAGATACTATTGCCGATGTTGATGCCTCGGATTTACACCCATTGATGAACAATGCTCATTATCTAATGTTGAAATTTCATAGTGATGGACCTTTGAAAAATTTGATAGAAAATGCAACATTACATGATCAAGAAGATGGTAAATGTTTTCAGCAGGTTTTCTCTGGTAAACATACTGCTTGCATTCAAAGGATAGAATACCTAGAATTAAGATCGGAAAATGCAAAGGATCATTGTGGACAACCAGTTACTAGACTGATAAAGGAACGTATTGTATCTATTCCATCGTCAATGATGCTTGAACCAGCATCACCGTTTTTGGGACGTTTTGAAAAAATTCAAAGAACTTTTCTTGAATTTGGACTTATTGACAAATGGTATAAATTACAATTTTTGGCAACCACTTATCAAAATGAAACTGGAACTGCATCATGTGAAACTCGAAAAAGTCAATCAATTTTAACTTGGCAAATTTTGGGCCTTGTTTTTATTGGTTATTTTGTTGCAATAATTATATTTGTCATTGAAATCGTTTATAGTTATTTTGTCAAGTAAAGAAATTCAATCAATCTAATTTTTTAATTTTTTTTTTTGTAATTCACAAATTAAAATGCAGAATATCATAACAATAAACTGTTACTTTAGCAAACTGTTCTGTGTAATTTTTTTTATTAAATTTCATATAATATAACTTTTAATCGATTGTTTGTCTAATACAATGTTAATTCAAGTTGCGTTAATGAAATGCTAATTCCAATCAAACAGTCTATATAATTGGATGTAAATTTAAATATTCGTGAAGCACAATTTGACTTTACAATATTATCTTAAGTTAACACATATGAAAAAAGGAATTATATTTATTAAAACTGATGTGGCATTTTTATATTTAAAATTAGAAAAAAAATTTTTAAATAATGCAAAATGAAAATATTGAGCTAAAAAATATTTATATTCATAAGCGTTTTTAATAAAAAAAATTTCCTTTATTTTATTTAAAAGTTGTTAAATTCTTATAAAAAATATTCTTCACGGTGAAGACAATCGACAACAAAATTTTGAGCAAAAAAAAAAGTAGGGTTTTTGAATAATTTCAATTAAAAAAATTTTTCTTTTTATTAAAATGGCCGCCATTTTGTTATTTTTGAACATGTTTTCATTTTTCCAACGGATTTTGAAAGAAAAATGAAAGCTCTTTGAAATGCAAAAAGAAATGTTTTTTCCCCCTAAATTTTAGATAAACAACTTTTCAGTCTGCCTGATAACCCAAAAACTTCCCCTCTCGATCCCTCCAATTAATTTTGATCTAAATGAAATAATTATTTTTATGATGAATTACCATCCCTTAGAACTAGAAATTATTCAAGTTTGAAAAATAATTTTTTTCCACCTAGATAATTTCACATTTCACCCTTCATTTGCGTCATAGATGTTATTTTTTGTAAAACTTATATATATATATATATATATATATATATATATATATATATATATAAATAATAATTATTTATTAAAATTAAGCAAAATTTATTCATTTATACTATTTTTCAAAAAATTTTGTGTTTATTTCTATAAATATGAGATGCTCTTTAGCGCGCATTATATTATCTGTCGCCATATTATTGTTGATTTAATGATTTCTAATGACGTTAATAGAAATAAAATAAAATGAGAACAATTGAAAATTTGAATAATCAATAGGAAATTTTGATATTTTCCTTTCGATTTTTCCAAAACTTTTATTGATACACGCATAAATTAACATATATAAAAAATAAAATTTTGTATTTTAAGTTGATAAATTATAAATTATTCAATTTTCCTATTAAATGAAAACTGTATATAAAGACATAAATTTTGGAGAATTTTTAAACAGAAGAAATAATGATGTTAGAAAAAAAGCACCTTATAACACTATTATTAGTAGTGGCTTTGGCCTCGTCTAATTTTGGACTAATTTCTATTGAGAATATTAAATCTAATTCCGATGTAAGTTTATTTTCATTACATACTTGTATTTCTATTCTTTATATTAATGATGATTAAAAGTTTTAATTGCATATATATATATATATATAAATAGGGTTGCCACAAAAATTTCAAAATAATTTTCCCTGTCTTCTAGATAAAAATTTTGTATTTTTCCCTGACATTTTCGTTTTTCAGGGTGTCTACTAATTTCATTCAACAAAATTGCCAGTCATTTCCCGATTTATTTTTTCTTGTTAAATTGAAATTTTTTTCTTGTAAACATGAATAAATCTACAAATATCTACGAAAATTGACTATATTTTATAAAAATAATTGTTTTATATGTTTGTATATTTCTTTACGATGAGCAAGATTATTTTCTAACTGGATCAATTGAAATCAAAAAATGAAAAATATTTAGTTAATATAAGATCAAATCTTGTTTTCTTTTTGAAGGAATGAAAAAAATATTAGATTTACACAAAAAGGCAGCTTTTAAAGAAGAAATTAAAAGTTTTTTTTTTAGAAGCTGCAATTTTGTTAATGTAATATTTTTTTCATTCCTTTCAAAGAAAACAAGACTTTATCTTATATTAAATAAATATTTTGTTGTTTTTTATTTCAGATGATCCAGTTAAATAATATCTTCCTCATCGTAAGACACATTTTTTTTTAGAGAATCCGCGGGAAAATCGTTGCAGCAATCACAAAAATCGATATTTTTTGCAAAATTAAAAATATTACTTTTACTTCAAAAGTTACATAATCCGATGCAAAAAATTCCATTTTAATAAATTAACAACTTTGTTTGAAAACAAAATTCTCAAAAATGGTTTATTTTGCCTCTTGCCTATGTATAACTAATGTAGACTTCGAAACAAAATGACCTAAAGTTCAACAAATTCCTTATTTTGACAGCTTTCATATCCATGAAGAAAATTGGTGCACTCGGTGTTAACTTACTCAGTATTTTTGAAATTATTTCTTGTTATTTATTGAAGTAAAAAATAATTTTTCCAAGACAAATTAATATATATATTAAAATAATAAAACTTGATTTAAATGTAAGTAAGAAAAATTCCGGTTTGACGTAAAATTCTCGGTTTTTTCCGGTCAATTTAAATTCCCGGTTTTTCCGATTAGTATAGACACCCTGAATTTTCTCTATCAAATAAAAATTCTATCAAAAATTTCAATCAAATAAAACTTGGGTCAAAAGAAAAAAATTCTACAAATAATTCTGTAAAATCAGTTTTTCTTTTTTTGAGAAAATTTGCAATGAAACCGAAACTGAAAACAAAATTTGAAAAATTTGTTTTCAGAGAACAGATAATGAAGAACTTCTTGAAATAAATATTGAGCAGAGTTGTAATCGTATGAGAAAGGACATGAAATTGAGCCTTAAGGGAAGAGTTGTTAAGCTAAGCGACCTCGATTTTCAATTATGTAATAATCCTAAAGTAATTGAAATATTCGCAAAACAGAAAGTAATTATTGACTTGGACTTGAAACTTATTGGAAAAGAAGTTCAATTGATAATTATAGCTCCCATATGGGAAATTATTTCATATCCAGATGTATTTCCTAGAACTAGATTAATTAATTTGAATGGTATAAATGGTACAGATTTTAATGAAACACGAGCAAAAAATGGCACAATGAATGGAAATAGAAATGGTGCTAATGGTTTTGCTGGGAAACCAGGAGGACCTGCTGGAAGCTTTTATGGAATTGCGGACAAAATTATAAATGCAGAAAATTTAATTATTTTAGCAAATGGAGGTAGGGGAGGAAATGGACAAGGTGGTGGACATGGGGCTAAAGGTGCCGACGGATTTACTTATAATGACAAACCTAATATTCCTTGTTCAGGCGAAGTGAATGGATGGAATTCTACAGTATATGAGGGAAAATATGATAAAATAGTTGGAAAGTATCAACCACAGTACGATAATGGGATAAAATATACAGTATTAGGAAAGTCTGGAAAAGTTGGTGGAAGCGGAGGTCATGGAGGTGTTGGTGGGAAAAGTGGAAAAAAAGGCAATGTCAATATTTTCGAGATTTCAAATAATGATAAAAGTCTTTTTCATTTATCCGCAATAGATGGTGAACAAGGATTAGATGGTGATGGTGGATGGGTTGGTTTGGGTGGTAAAAATGGTTTAAATGTTAGAACGATTTTAAATTGTTATTTCAATCAAAGATTATCAATAAGTATTGAAAAATTAGATGATGATACTAGTTCTGCTATTTATGGTACAGAAGGAAAATCCGGCGCCAGTTTAAAAAGACAAATAGATGCAGAGAGTTCACATAGTGAGAACAGTTTTCCAAGTTCACTGAATAAATATAAAATTTATATAAGAGAACATTTGGCAAATTCAAACATAATGGATAATGATATGCTATGGTCATTCTATAATAATTTAAATATTCAAGAAAATATAAATAAAATGTACAATACAGTCAATTTAGTTGAAGATTTTATAGGATTGGAAAAACAATTTCTTTCTCTAAATAAGCAAATAAATTTCACCTCGTCATATGAACAATTGCAAAAGCGAATTGTTATGTATGAAAAGAATCCTATAAAACAGGAAAATACTTCAGAATACAAAAACATTCTCAAGGAATTAAATAATAATGTCAAAGGTAAAGTTAAATTTTTTTATATCTAATAATAGTAGGTACCTATATCATAAAAAAAATTTTTCAAAACAGTTTTTAATTGAATTTTTTACATTTACAGGTAGAATTGAATCTATTCAATTATTGCATTCGAACTACGATGTTAATAGAGATTTAAAAAAAACAGCTGATCTTGGTTTAAAACCACTGATAAAGGATTTAGTAAATTTTAGAAAAACTAATGATATTCTACGACTTCTTAACAATTATATTTTTTCATTGGAAGAAAAAATGGCAGATGGTAAAAATTTGATTAATAAAGTGGCACTTAATTCTGTTTGGGAGACAGAGGATATGTTAGACCAAGAAATGGATACTTTACTTACAGAAATAATAGACTTGGAGGATCGAGCAATCGCTAACAGAGATGAATTAATAGAAAGTCGTGATAAGTTGCAAGGCATTATTCGGCTTAAAGTACTATTTGGAGTTTTGAAAGTGGGTTGCGGAGTACTGGGAGTTATGAATCCTTTATTAGGTACAGTAGCTACATCTGCTACAACAGTTATCGAAGCATTTGCAACTGGTGGAGCCAAAGAACAAGTAGCCGTTTTACCAAAAGCTTTTGATAGTTTGGCTAATGCATCATTAAAGTATTTTACAGACATGAAGGTAAAACAAGAGAAGATCATTAAACAACAGGAAATATTTGTGAAAAATCAAAAAGAATCTACAACAATTTATGGCGCTGATGTAATCGATCAAGTGTGGGAAACATCAAGACAATATAGGCAATATGATGAGAGAGAAATGCAAAATCCAAAATTAACGGCACATGCCATGATGATAGGATATGCTAAGAAAGAGACTGAATTAACTACAGAATTAGATAAGCTAAAGGAACCAGGTACAGAAGTTGATAAAAATGTAAAAAAAGGTATCGAAATAGGATTAAATGTAACAAAATATTTAAAAGCAACTTCTGCAATTTTTACAACTGCATCAGAAACAGCTCTCAATATTATGAAAGATAAAGAAAGAGTCAAAGAAATTAATGCAGCAATTACCAAAAATCAGACAATTATAGATAAACTCTATTCGTTAGAAGAGAGTATTTATTCTGAAGTGATGCCAGTTTTTTCTGGTATGAAGACAAATTTGAATAATTTTAAGCATGGACAAGAAAACATGACTGAATTTCAACAACAAGTTGCAAAATGGAATATGACCGGTATAATTAAGGACATACAGCGTCATTTGAATAATGTGACTAAAAATTTTAATGTAAATGAGGGATTGAATTTTGCGTTTAACGAACTCATAAGAGATTTTGACTTAATGTTTGATTTATACGAATCATTGTTAAAAGGCAAAGAGAAGAAAAGAGATAAAATTTATTTAACCAATCTTCACATTGCTCACAATGATCATGTCAGTAATTTGTTGATTACTGATTCTCAAGTGCAAAATGCTATTTCAGAATTGCAAGTTGTTAGAATGTCAAATGACGTAGTTTTAAAATATAAAGAATGGTATTATGAGTTTAAACAATATGCATTCCCTTATACTGAAAATGATTTAAATAAATTACCAAATTTGGATATTCTTACAAAGGAAAGTTACAATGAACTTGCAAATTTGATAGTTAAAAATGAAAATTTAATAATCGAAAAGTCTGTTTCTACTAAAGTTATAGATCATAGAAAAACAGCACTTTTCAGGGGTTCTAATTATCAAGATGATAGAGAAAAATTTTCTTTCTACATTTGGAAAAATAAGGACAATAATCAAGCGATAGTTGATATTTTAAATGGCAAAAAAGTAACATTAGTTGCAGATATTAATAAAAATGATTTGGATTACAATGCTGTAAAATTTAAAAGTATCAAAATATTATTTACCACCCATACTGCGAATATGCAAGAAGAATTAAATAAACTATTAAACAATTTTGATGTAAATATGACGCATCATGGTGATTCTAAGTATAAATATGGTAATGACATTTATGAAATTAAAAATTCTCCAACGTCAATATTTGTTAATTATGAATTAAATTATAATGACCGGAATACATTTTTGGCTTCGGATATCGCCAATAAACCATATATGTTAAGTCCATATGCAACATGGTCTATTCAACTATCGCCAGTACAGAAAAATCATAAATTCCAATATTTACAGAACTATACAAAATTAGTCGATATGGAACTTATAGGTTATGCTCAATTTTTGGATAATTCTGAATGTGACTCAACATGTAAAGATAGAATGAAAGAATATTATACACTTTTATAAATAATTGGTAAATATATATGTATAACTGTGTGTCTTTTGATATAAGTGTGTGTATAACATTATGTATAATGTTACATTAGATACATTAGATCTGTCAGAAGGTTTGTATTGTTGAATTAAAAATTACCTAATCTTTTTAGCAGAATTTTATAAAGTAGATTTTATTTTATAATGAAACTAATTTTTATATCTAAGAAATTTTATTAAAGAGTATTGAACAGTCTCTAAAATTCTATGGCAAAGAGAGATCTTTAATTATCGTCCTATAAAAACAGAACCGAATATGAAAATGATAAACATTGATTTTAAAATACTTTTTTCTCAAAAACTCGGATACTTTTTACAAAATCGGCCAAAACACCAAGGATCGTTATTTTATAAATTTTGTAAATCCAAAAGATTTTGCGAATCCATACAAAAACGCGATTGCAAAACGAAAAGTAGGAAAGTAATATAATAACAGGGTGCGACTTTGTGCACCTACCAATCTTTGATGCTTCTGCCATCTGACGGCGGCAAGACGTAATAAACCAGTCGTTATATTACTTTCCTAGATTTCGTTTTGCAATCGCGTTTTTGTATGGATTTACACAATCTTTCGGATTTAGGAAATTTATAAGATAAGATTCACTTGACTAGTTAGTTAAATTTACAATTTAGTTAATTATAAATAGAAATTATTCGCTATGAAAATTTGGCTCATTATAAAATCTATTTTATAAAATTCTGCTAAAAAAAATTCGATAATGTGCGATTCCAAGTGAGATTTTGACTTTTTCGGAGTAGGTTAACCGATTGCAATGAAACTTTGGAATTTTGTTATATAAAGTAAGACTAATCTTTAACGTAAATTTCAGCCTAAAATATTTGTTAGTTTACGAGATTTGCAATAATAACAAAAAATTTAAAACTGCTATATCTTCCGTTCTAATAAACGGATTGAGGTCTACTTTTTTTTAAAATGTCAAGGAAAATGAGAGGAATAAATCTCTTTCAGAACATTTTTTTATAATTTTACAACTAAAAAAATTATTAAATAATAATTGAATAACTTTCGCGCGACTAACTAAAATTCAATCACTTAAACGCTAAAATGATCTTACCTGTGTTTTCTTTAATGTTCCAAAGGATTTTTATTGTAAATGTAAGTTTAACTTAAGAAATTTTATTAATTTATTAGTATAAACAATTGAGATTTCTGCTAGTTGACGTGCAGACGACATTGCGCACGCAGCATTCTCACATAGCCAACTGACGTGATTCGTGGACTAAATTGGCTATGTGAGAATGCTGCGTGCGCAATGTCGTCTGCACGTCAACTAGCAGAAATCTCAATTGTTTATACTAATAAATTAATAAAATTTCTTAAGTTAAACTTACATTTACAATAAAAATCCTTTGGAACATTAAAGAAAACACAGGTAAGATCATTTTAGCGTTTAAGTGATTGAATTTTAGTTAGTCGCGCGAAAGTTATTCAATTATTATTTAATAATTTTTTTAGTTGTAAAATTATAAAAAAATGTTCTGAAAGAGATTTATTCCTCTCATTTTCCTTGACATTTTAAAAAAAAGTAGACCTCAATCCGTTTATTAGAACGGAAGATATAGCAGTTTTAAATTTTTTGTTATTATTGCAAATCTCGTAAACTAACAAATATTTTAGGCTGAAATTTACGTTAAAGATTAGTCTTACTATATATAACAAAATTCCAAAGTTTCATTGCAATCGGTTAACCTACTCCGAAAAAGTCAAAATCTCACTTGGAATCGCACTAATTTTTAATTCACCATCACCATAAATATTCCGATAGGTCTAATTTGAGAAATCCCATAAATTTAATTGAGTGAATATTATTTAGAGTAAATTCTAGTGCTGATCACGAATACCGTGATGCGGATTTTTAATATTCCGCATCGTTAAAAATGTCTACAAAGTGAATTATTTGAAATCTTTTTATGTTTTCTCTTATTTTTATTTCGGCGTTAAAATATTGTGTTCAATTTTTTACTTTAAAATAAACGATTCTTTCAATTTAAATAATAAAAATTCTATTTATTAAATCTTTAATAAAAACATCATTCCCACCTCAGTAATCTTACTCGCCTATAAAAAAAAACTGTCAAACAATACCGTTACTAACAATTTTTCGATACATCTTTAAAAAAAATAAATTTTAAAAATAAAGAAAATAGAAGAAAGACAAAATAAATGAAAATTAAAAAAAAATTTAATTAATAAATTGAAAAATTTTAAATAATAAAAAAACCTTTTTACTATAACTGCAGAATTAGTTGTTTTTTTTATCGCGAAGTATTAATTAAAACAAATACTAATCAATGAATAATTAATTTTGATTGACCATAATAATTGTTGATAAAAGATAATCAGTTTAAAATATAACATTCTCAATGTGGATTCGCATCTAGTCCAGCAATGCATTTAAAAATACAATTTTCTTTATTTATTGTTTTTTGTTCTGGATTTTTTGTTGTAAGTAATGCTCTTCGTAAAAGTGAGGAAAGTAAGTTACTTCTTTATATTTTTTTCTATTATAATAATAATAATTGAATTTTTAAATAAATTTTTATATAGTATTCAAGTTATAATATTAATTAAAAATCAAGTACGTGTATATTTTTTTTTTACTTTAAATTTAAACAAAATTTATTTATTTAAAATTTAAAAAATTTTAAAAATTAAAAATACAATATTATAATTAGAAAACTTATATTTTTAGAATGTAGAGATTATGCAAAATTAGTTTATTCAAAGGAAATTGTTCCCGTTTTGCGAATAGATGGCGATTATAAACCAGTATCAAAATGTGGAATTATTGAAACCCCTTTGATTATCGGAGGAATTAAAGCAAAACCTCAAGAATTTCCACACATGGTAGAAATATTCATATAAAAAAAAGTAAAATAATTTTAATATTCTCTCATAAATAAATAATAAAAATATAATTTGGATAAAATTTTAGGCTGTTATTGGATACGGAAAAGGAAATGAAATTTCATGGCAATGTGGAGGTTCTTTGATATCGGAAAATTTTATTTTAACAGCTGCTCATTGTGTTGAATCGCTAGACAAGTAATGAATAATTTAATATTTTTTAATTTATTTTAAAAATTGTTTTTAATTTTTTAATCACTTTTTTTGTTTTTAATAATATCATAGAGTAAAATTATATTTCATTAGTTTTGAAGTTCATGGAAAATTTTTTTAATCTAAAAATTATTGTAAATAACAAAATTACAGTCAATTAATGTTTTCTTTTTTTTTTTTTAAGTGGAAAATTACATTCATCAACAATGGAGTACTCATTAGAATTTTTTTTTTTTTTTTTTTTCATTATTTTATCTACACTTCGTTTATATATAAATGTTTATAGTATGTATTGAAAATTACAAATATAAATGCATACATATAAAATGAACCTGTGACACAGTAATCTCCCAGCAATGTCATGTAAAAATCTTTATAATTGCGTCTATTTGATTCCATATATGTAATTTTTGTAATTTAACAAAGCAAGAAATGTTATTTTCGTATGGAAAAATTACGATAATTCATTATCTCTATCTAATGACATAATGCGATATCATATGAAAATATCTTTCTTAATTATTTTAACAAAATCATTATAAACACATGTAGTAGTTTCCTCTAGTAATAATGTATATGAATTAGAATTTCACACATTTAATATGATGTATTCCACGCCAAATTCGAAGTCCATTTGCAATTGCATTTCCGTTTGTTTTTGAACATTTTTTTTTCTTTTAGTACTATAATTGAGACTAGCTTTTATGATTTTTTTCAAATTTTTTTAGCAAGCTGTTTTCGACCTCACAGCACCGAAACTTTCCTAAAGATTTATTTGAAATTTTGAAATATTCGGAATATTTCAAATAAATCTTTAGGAAAGTTTTTGAATTAAATTAAATTATGAAAAATTATGTATGTAATTATTATTTTTAATATAAAAATGAAGAGGTCCAGCTTCAAGAGTAAGAATTGGCATGACAAATATAAAGAATCCAGGAAGTGAGATGCAAGAAAGATGTGTGATTGAAAGAATAAAATATCCTAATTATAAACAACCATCGAAATATGATGATATTGCATTACTGAAACTTGATAAACCTTTGGACTTTAATGGGGACGTTAGACCTGCTTGCTTGGGAATAGAACCGGTAATCCCTGGAAAATTTACAATTGCCACTGGCTTTGGCAAAACTTTATACGGTATAAACTTTTTAAATATATTAGAAAATCTTTTTTTTCTCGATTAATTATGAGAAAGAAGAATCATTAAATTAATTAAAATATTTCCAAATATATACATTCATTGCAATTAACTTTCAAAATTTCTTTGTACTATTCATTTCTTTTATTCAAAAAAATAAAAACAACGCTGCTTTTTAGCCGTTTTTCGGGATTTTTTTTTATAAAGGGATAACATTTTTTAAATGAAATGCAAAAATGACATTATGTTTCACATATATATTTATCTGTGTCTCACAATTTTTTTAAAGCATTTTTATTAAAAACATTCTAAGTTAGCAGCCATTAAAACACTACTTTTAAGTTAATTTTTGGTATTAAACATTTTTTCTTTCTAACGTTTAGTTCACTTAATAATAAATTTAATAATGAACAATTTGCATTTTTTTTTTTTTGAAGTCGGTATATATTTTAAAAATTAATCGGCATAATGACTTTTTAGTCGAAATATAATAAATTGACTCATAAAATTTGCAGAAAATATTAAGGGAAGTGATGATCTGATGAAGATTCAACTTGAATACGTGTCACAAAATATTTGTAATAATAGTTTTAAAATAGATGTCGGAAGTAAATCTCTGCCAAATGGCATTAAATCCAGTATGCTCTGTGCTGGAATTATAGACGGAGGCAGAGATACATGTCAGGTTAAAATTTGCATATATACATTTTCATTTTAGAGAATTTTATTAATTTAAATTTGGCAGAATTATTATTTTTCGAATTTTTATTGGATAGAATAATTAATTAAAAGAATTTTTAATTTACAGAAAGAATATATATATATATATATATATTAGAAATAATTCTTTTCTAGACGAATTTTAATTTTACAAAACTTTCATTCCTTCAATTAAATAACTGGGAGAAAAATTTTGAACGCAAATTTAAAAATTGACGAATCAGAATATTTTCTACTAGATATTTATTTGAACAAATAAAAGTTCTGTTAAATAAAAATTCGACGTTTTAAGAAATTGTGCAATGTTACCACAACTTGTATATCATATAAAAATATAACTATTTTTGAGTGATTTTATTAAATAGAGGAAATTTTAGGGCGATAGTGGAGGTCCTTTGCAGAGAGTCTTAAAAGAACCTTACTGCATGTACAGTATTGATGGAATTACGAGTTTTGGAAAATTTTGTGGCTTCAAAAATTCTCCAGCTGTATATACAAAAGTGAGTTTTTATCTCGATTGGATAGAAAATATTGTTTGGCCTTGAAAGAAAAAATAATGTAAATTATTTATGTCAAATAAAAAAAAAAATAAATAAATAAACAAATTTAATCTTTAAGATGTCTTTTAGAGGAATTATTGGTCCACTCTAGGTCAGAGGATAATGATCCTCTCAAAAAAATTTAATTTTCGGGTGAAGTAACATAATATATACCAATCACAGTCATCCTGTATAGGACATAAAATGTGTATTTTTATGAGACATTTGTTCAAAAATTTTTTTTTGAATTTTTGCATTTTTTACAAGTTAATCGCAAAAAACCATAATTTTATGGTTTTTTTTATGGTTTTCACCATGCAAATTTTGCACCAATTTTCACTATCATTTTTGCAATCAGCGCATCAAAATACATTATTATACTTACAAGTACCAAATTTTTCTCTATAGTTATAATGTTATTTATCGGTTTTTGGATTTTTCTCGAAAAATAATCACTTTTAGTAAAAAAATGTAAACAACATAAAATATGTGTTTTTTTTAGACCTACAACTTTTGTTTGAAACATTTTTCGAAATTTTGCGTTTTTTACGAGTAAATTGCAAAAAACTATGATTTTATAGTATTTTTTATTATTTTCACCATGATAATCAAATTTGCGTCAATTTTTACTATTATTTTCGTAATCAGCGCACCAAAATACGTTTTAGTTGTTTTTTTTAATTAGTTAGCTAATTTTTAGCTGTCTTAAATAAAAAAAATTTGTCGAGATCCAGTTGACAATTTTAACTCAAAAATAATATAAAGATTCATTGTAATGTGCCAGAGTATATTAAATTTTTTTGACAAAATAATATTAATATACTCTAGCACATGTTAACGAATCATTATACTATTTTTGAGTTCTCCACAAATATTTTACGAGAAAAACTGAGGTGAATATTTACGTATATATGAAATCACAACAATCACATGACCTTAATTTCTGATTATAAAACCGTTTTGAAAAAAATGACTCTCAATTATAGAAAAAAAAGTTATATTAATAAATAATTATTATTTATTATTAATAAAAATTAAATTTAATTAATTAAATTAAATTATTATACATAATAATTAGATGTTATTAATTAATTACTCTTTGAAAATTTTAGATGATCCGTTTGAGAAATTCTTACTGTTTATAACCTCTTAAAATGTCATGTGCAAATATTTACAAATTTCATTTTCATCATTTTCATACTTACATACATATATACGATTTTAAAAGTAATTTCAAAGTATATAAAACAAATAGCAGTTAAATTACAAATTACCTTTCCAAAACAACACACGCAAATATAGTTTTGTATGGATATATTCAGTGATTAGCTGATGTTCAGCGACGTTGGTTCCCAGCAAAAAAAAAAAACTTTTTAAACTATATTTGTAGATTTTACTTGTAAATAAGTGAAAAATAAGTTAATAACACATTAAAAAAGTGAAAATTTCTTTTTTTTATAAGTTATTTTAAAGATTTCATAATATTATATTTAAAATAATAATGAAAAAAATGATACATTTGTCTTCTTTCTGCATGGGGTTTCGAGAAATAGAAAAATTCGAAAGTAAGAGTGCATTTGTATAGTAAATTTTTTAAAACAATTAACAATTTAATTAAGGCCATGTGGGAAATACCCACGTGACTCCCATGCAAAAAACATGGTATCGTTTTACCAAGTTTTCTCTAAAATGGTAAAGAATTTTTGGTTGAAATTTGTAAAATATGATAGAGAATAGCATTCAGAATGGCGCTGTTCTCGGTTTGAAGCAATATTTTGCGTTTAAGTATTAAGAATAAAAGTTTGAAAATTCCCATTTTTAAACGAAAGTTGAACTCAACATGGCGGGGGTACACACAGACGTTGCGTGAATGTAACTAGCGCCAAATCGAGTTAGTGGCCGCTCAAAGAAATAACAAAAACCCATTAATTCCACTATTAATTACTTTTTTAAATTATTTCGCATTCAATTACAGTAAATAAGTAGAACGGACCAATTCCTTCAACCCTTTTTTATCATTCCTCAAAATTTCAACCCGAAATTTCTTCTTACTTTCGAGAATACTTGGAACTACCAAAAAGTGTCTTTGTCTCACATGGCCTTAAAATAAAATCATTTATAACATAATCTAGACAGTCAATTCGAAGCAGTTGTTCTAAAACATCAAATTCTGTTCCAAGTTAATAATAATTTAGGTAATTTAATTTAATTAATTTAATTTTTTAATAAAAGTTTACAAAATCTTTTAATTGTTTATGAATAAAGGAAATTTATTATTTTTAAATTCTTGCTATTAATTCATAAATATATTTTAATTAAACAATTTAATCTGCCTGAAATTTTGAACGTTCAAATGAACGAAATCATTTTTTTTCCATTTTATTATTAAATTCCCAAGAAGCACGTAATATAACCTCAATATCAAGGTAATATTACACGTGAGATTCGTAATATAACGCTGTAATATTACAGTAATCTTACAGTGATCTTAAAATGTCCGCCTCAAGGTAATATTACCGGTAATGTTACTGTAATATTACGCGCTAATATTAAGGTAATATTACAGTAATATTGCAGTAATATTATACCGTAATATTAAGGTAATATTACAAGAGAATATTACAGTAATATTATGGGAACATTTCTTTACGAAAAAAATCTACCCATCCAGGGAAGCGAACCCCGAACTCAAAGCACACGAGTCCAGAGTTTTACCAACAAGCCAAATTGACTTATAATATATTTATGTTTTTTATGCTTTATGAATAACTCAAATCAGTCTGTAATATTACAGTAATATTACCGTTAATATTACTGTAATATTACCGTTAATATTACAGTAATATTACCGGTAATATTACCTTGAGGCGGACATTTTAAGATCACTGTAAGATTACTGTAATATTACAGCGTTATATTACGAATCTCACGTGTAATATTACCTTGATATTGAGGATATATTACGTGCTTTTTGGGTTTATATTAATAAAAATAACTAAAGCAATGAAAATGAAATGAAATTTATTATTAATTTTAATTAATTAATTAGGTACCTAATATATAATTGAAGAAATAAAGACCACAAAATTTAACAATAAGATTTTGAAGCAGATTTTTAAAATATGCTTCATTCTCCCTTTTTTATTGAAATTATTACAATATATATATATTTAATATAATAATAATTATAATAATAATAATTTTAACATGTATTAACGAGCACATTCGCAAAAATTTGTACAATATAAAACTTATAATTAACAGTAAATTATATACGTGCATACCTTTGACGGAAAAAATTTACAATTATATATATATATATAGTATCGATTTTTTATAAACTTAATAAGACAACAAAAATATACAATGAAATGATGAATTCTTATTATAATATTGCTGAAATACAATGAGTTTTTAATTAATTCTGTACAATAATAATTGAACTACATCTATAAAAAAAAATATTTACAATAAAATAATAATCGAGATAATTGTAATCGAAATTAATTATAATTTCTTAAGAAAATAAATTTTAACAAATATATATATATATATATATATATATATAGTGTAGTAGAGAAAAAAGAGGAAGGAAGAAGAAACAGCAGTTATTTTTTCTCTCCAAAATTAAATAAATATTTTAAATGGGATGTATAATAATTCTTTGACGAGCATCATTTTTATGGCGAGATATTTCAGAAAATGAAATTAAAATAAAAATTAAATTATCAGTCTTAAAACTCTGTATATTACACGTATTACCAGAAGTCTCCGCTCTATATTCACCTTCCCTCCCTGACACACTATTTACATAATACACAAATTCACCAGTCTCTCACAGATCGTCTATCTTTTTTCACATTCAAATATTAATTTTCTTTCTCATTCTTTTTATTTTCACACACAGATATTGGAGATAATAATTTGCCATCTAATTCTAATAATTGACCAATTTTCACATTTATTTTCATGTGAATTAAAAAGAACATTCATTTGTTCATTTTTATTTGGCTAGCAATTGAAATTTTTTTTTTTCATTTTCACTCATTAATTCTATACAAATAACAATTTTAATAATATTTATTAAAAAAAAATTATTATTGTCATTTATCTATCATTGAATTTATTGTGAATTAATTCTTCCGTATTTTATTTTTAACGAAAAAATTTGCACTATCAAATTGGATAAAATGATCATCTTCTGCTTCAGCCCTTCAAAACTGTAAATAAATAATTACAATTATTATTATTATTATTATTATTATTGTTTCAAGGAAGGTCAAAAAAAGATAAATTACAATTATTCTACAAATGATAAATGGAAAAGATAATCAATGAACATTTAAGAGAATTAGCGAATGAGAAAAAAAAATATATAATTTCTTGATAAGAAGAATGACAAATAATTCAAAACAAATTGTCAATGATGATTGACATTGGAAAAAAACGGAACATTTCCACATATTCATATTTTTAATGTATATTGGTATTAGAAAAAAGAAAAAATTGAAATCAAAACTTTCAAAGAAAAAAATTATTTAATAAAATTAAAATTATGTAAATTTCTTTTTTTTTGTATATATATTTTTGAATCAATCTTTTGAAAAAAAAAAATAAATACTCCAAAACTTTAAATAAATATGTAATAAAAAATTTAATTAAAAAAAAATGTAATGTAAAATCAGGGTTGCCACAATTCAGAGAAAATATAAGAAAAATGTCAGGGAAAATTTTTTTTTTTTTGTCAGGAAATTTAAAAAAATGTGCTGTAAAAATGTTGTAAACCTAGATTTGGTATAAGGTTCCTAACATGTCCATGAGTTAAAAAATCATACTCCTAATTTTTTTTTTATATCAAATTAAAATTTTTTTAAATAATTAAATTTTTTGGAAACTATTAAAATTATTGAAAATTATTGATTATGCCAAGAATTTTAGATGAAAATTTATAAATACCTAAACTTTTGAATATTTTCTATTAAGATTTTTAAAATTAATTAAATTTCAGAAAATTTTAAATTTGAATTTTTTCTAATTTTGAATTGCTGAAGGTTTTTTTTTTACAAATTTTTTTTACAATAATTGAGTTTTAGAAATTTTTTTATTAAAATTTTTTTTAAATAATTAAATTTTTGAAAAATTATTAAAATTATTAGAAATAATTGATTTGGCGAAGAATTTTAGATGAAAATTTATAAATACTTAAATTTTCGAATAATATCTTTTAAGATTTTTGGAATTAATTAAATTTCAGAAGATTTGAAATTGAAATTTTTTTGTAAATTTGAATTGTTGAAGACTTTTTTTTTTACAAATTTTTAACAATAATTGAGTTTTAGTGAATTTTTAATTAAAAATTTTTGTAAATGATTGAAATTTCGAATAATTTTTGTTAAAATTTTTTAATTAATTGAATTTTTGATATTTAGCAGTTAAATTTTTTGTTAATGATTAAATTTTAATAGATTTTCGATTTAAAATTTTTAAAATATTTAAAAGTATGAAAATTTTTTGTGGGTACAAATTTTTTGTAAAAATTTAATTTCGATATTTGAAAATAATTGATATCTCGAAGAGCTGCTATTAAAGTTTTTAATAATATAATTAAATTTTTAAAAAACTTTTTTTACAAATAAATAAATTTTATAAAAATTAAAATAAATGTGTTAAGAGCAATAATTTTAATTTGTTAATTGTTTTTAAATAATTGTATTATTGTAGAAGTTTTTGAAAATTGTAAAATATGCAGAGTTTTAGTTACCAAACTTAATTTTTATAAATAAAAAATTTTAAAAAAATTTACTTTTTTTTAATTATATGGATTTAATAGAAAGAAATAAATATTAAAAGAGTTGCAATTAAAAGTTTTGACTTTTTCTATTTTTAAAAGATTTCAAATTTAAAATTTCATAAATAATTCAATTATCGAAGAATTTATTCAAAATTATGAAATAAATGAAGTTTTTTTTAAAATAATAATAATTTAAATTAAAAATTTTTTTAAATAATTGAATTTTCGAATATATTGTATTAAAAGAATTGTAATTAATTAAAATTTCATAAAATTTGATTGAAAGCGTTGAAAATAATTGAATTTTTAAAAAGAATTTCATTAATACTTTTAAAAATATGTAATTGAATTTTTTTGTTATAATTTGAATTATTCTTTATATAATATTTGTTTAACATAATTTTCATTCTTTCGAATTTTCATTTATCACAATTTTTTTTTTTTTTTTTTAATAAAATTCAAATTTGATAAAAAAGAACAAAATTCAAAAATGTCGGAGAAAAGACACAAAAAATTGTTTGGAAGTCAGGGAAAATTATAATGAAAATTTTGTGACAACTCTAAAAATTAAATTTTTATAAATAAATTTCTAAATTCTCATTTTTGTAATTTAAATTTAAAAAAATAAATTTTAATATCAAACTCACAATATTTATTGGAAGACTCCATTTTTGTAAGAATCACTTTAATCCAAATTGCGTTCACTCTTTTCTCGAATTTTTTGTGCCTATGCTTTTTATAAATTTGTTTGTGTTTTTTTTTGTTTATTTTTTCAATTGCCTTCAATTTCTTTATTTCCGTATAAAGTTTTTGATCTTTTTCTCTCTTATTGTTGATTTTCTTGAATAATTCATATTTTTATGGAGCAAACTGATGACAATTCACTACAGGCATTAATCTCCAAAATTTACACGCAGATGGTATTTTTTTTTTTTTTTTCTTGTAGATAAACGTGAAGATCTTGATAATAGTGCACTTGCATAAAAAGAGAATGGTGTCACCAATAAGGTGCATCATTTGAAAGATGCTGCCACGAAGCAAATTCACTCCACGTAGGAATATTCACCCTCAAAGCATCCTCAATGACATTTGTACGATTGTGCATTGCCTTTATAAGCGTTTCATCGCTTTTTTTCAATTCATCACGATTTTGTAGCACGACCTGAAAAATTAAAAGAAAAATTAATATCGAATTATTCAAAAAGAAAAAAAAGAATTAACCCAATATGATATATTCCAAATTATTATTTTTCATGAGGAGGCTGTTAATTTAATTCCATAAAAAAAAATCCATTAACTTTAAATACCGTTAGAAGCAATTAAATTAATTACCAAAAAAAAAAATGAATTATCTAATTAAATTGTTCATTATAATATTAAAATCGTTTAATTAATTTATTATTAAGCCCATATGATTTAATATATGTAAATGTGTGAAAATTTAGAAAATGTTAGCGAATATAATTTGTTGTGAAGTTAAATTCAAATGTTTTGAAAGTGTAAATTTATAAATGATAAAATATGTAAAAATTTATTTGAGGAAAAAAGTAATAATCACTTTTGGATAAATTGGTGGAAATTCATTTTTTTTTTTCTGTTTTCTTCTATAATCCCTGTCCCTTGTATTCTCACGTGTAAATAATACTTTTTAAGCCCATTGTATCCTTGATTTAATCTGTAATCCCGTGTATAATCTTTGTAACAATTTTGTATTAACTCAGAATTTTAAACGAAAACAAATATTTTATACCAAATGTATTTTAAATAATATATTTTACGAGAAATTTTTCATATTTTTTCCATGTCGGGCATTTCACGTAAGATTTTCATTTAAAACAATTTTTTTTTTTTTCATAAAAAATTTCGAAAAAATGTATTAAAAAAAAATTTTTGACTGCAAAAATCTTACGTAGAATGCCCCATATAACTAAATAATTTTTACGTTATATAAGTAAATTATTATTTATTATTACAATTTATTATTATTAATTTTTTATTATAGTTAATTTATTATTATAAATTCATTTTTTTATTAATTAATTTATTAAAACATCACCGAACAATGCAGTAAAAAAAAAATATAGAACATTTTGTCCGATTGGAAAACATTTTTTTTTTTTATTCTAAATATAAATTATATAATCAAGCAATAATTATTACCATTTTTCGCATTTTGTAATCAATTATGAAATTCTCTATATATTTTTCTAGTTCTTGTAACTATAACATCTTAAAGTTAAAATGCAAAGGTCTTACAATGACCTTTGCAATTCTTCGTAATCACTTAATTTTAATTTGTATTAAAAATTGTCAAATAGAAATTTTTCTAAATTTACTTGATTCACATTGAAAATAATATTTTTTATTCTAATTTTTTTTTTTTTTCTTAAAGTTACAATAATAAATTTTTTTTTTTTACATTTACGTAAAAAAAATAAATATGCAAATTAAAAATCAAGTATTCCCGTTATTTTAGAAAAAAAAAAATCTCATCTTTCGAATTATTATTTATAATTCATAATCATGTGACTTTCTCTCATTCACATTTTTTGATAAATATTTTAAAATGACAATAATTATTTATATGTAATAGTTTTATATTAATATAAACATAAAATGTGAATTTCTTATCATCAGTAAGATGCATATGTAAATTAAATTATCGAGAAAAATATATAATAAAACATCCTAATCATTTTGTGGCGCCAATTTAATTCTTATCAATATATGCAATTATATCTGAATAATTGTCGTAATTGAAACATTTTTTTTTTTTCATTTTCGCATTCATTCGTTTTGTTTCTTATCTATAATAAAACTGCACGATATTATAGTTCAATATTATGAGCTTTTAATATAAAAATAGTTTTCAAAGACAAAGAAAAGTTAAACTTTTTTCTTTTTTTTCTTTTTTGTTCGTAACGTAAAATTTCCAATTAATTAGGTTTTGTTTTACACACTTCATTAAAATTAAATTATAACCGATTATTGCGTTCAAATTAAGATTAACTTTATGTCACGATGAAATTAAAAATAAAAAATATAATGAAAGAAAAATCGTAACCTTTTAACCTTTTATCATTATACGACATAATTCTGATATTTGGAATAAAGAAATAAAAAAAGAACCAAAATATATTGAATTTTTTTTTTTTTTTTTTTTTTCTTATGAAATATGACTAAAACTATTTTTATATTTCAAGGTGAATTACAATTTGTTTTGTAAACTTTATCACCTGCAGAATAAATATAATTTTTCCAAAATTTAATAATTTAATTTTTACAGAGTTGATACAAAAATATTATTGACTTTTCCCTGATTTCTAGTCAAAATTAACAATTTCTCCTTGACACTAATGAAAATATTTCAAAAGATTTTCAATAATAGGCCTCTCGGATTGAACGACTTTTTCGACTTTTTTTTATTTTTTAAATTTGAATTAATAAAAAAATATATTAACTTGAATTGTTTGCAAAATCAATTATTTTCAATAATTTAAAACAAATTCTTTGCAAATTAAATGATTTAAAATAGTTTTCAATTGAAAATTCACTAAAATTCAATTATTGTCTAAAGTTTTCAAAAAAAAATTTCACCAATTCAAAATGAAAGTTTCAATTAATAATCTCCTGAAATTCAATTATTATTTTTAAAAATTTTAACTCGAATTCTTCTAAAATACAATTATTTCTAAATTTTCTATATAAAATTCCTAAAATCCTTTGTTGAATAATTTAATTTTAATAATTTTCAATGTACCAAAAGTTTTGAACGTTCAAATGAACAAAAATTTTTTTGCAACTTCATTAAGTACGAATTTTTTTTACAAAATATTATTTTAAATATCTAAAAAGAAGTTATTAATTTAATATTTATTTAATTTACTGTTTTATATTACATTGACATTATAATTTTTAATAATTTATAGATTGAAAAAAATATTTTGTTCATTTGAACGTTTAAAACTTTTGGCTCATAATTTTAATTAAGATTTTCAGAAATTCAATTATTTAGAACATTATAATATGTTTTATGAAAGTTTCAATTAAAAATCTTTTAAAATTTAATTACTTTCGAAAAAATTTTAACTCGAACTCTTTCAAATTCAATTAGTACCTATAATTGTATAAAATTGAATGTTAATTGAAAAATTCTTAATTGAAAATTTTTTCCCAAATTTTTTTCAACGTAATTCTTTGTTTATTTAATTAATTCAACAGTTTTAATCCAATTTTCCAAAAATTCAATTATTTAAATCGTTTTTTAACAAATGTTTATATTTACAACAAAATTATAATTTTTAAAATCTCAAAAATGCAATTATTTTGAAAAATCCTAACTGTAACGCCATCAAAAATTAAAACTCCTATTTAGAACATAATATTTCAGTTGAAAATTCTTAAAAATTCAATTACTGTCTAAAATTTGTAAAAAAAAAAAAAAATTATTAATTCAAATTTATAAAAGTTTAAATTGAAAATCTCTTGAAATTCAATTATTTCTAAAAAATTTTAAATCAAACTCTTTTAAATTCAATTATTTTAAAAATTTTATTTTAAAATCTTCTGAAATTCAATTATTTCACAAATTTTCATTTAAAATTAATTTTTTTTTCAATAATATTTTAATCAAATTCTTCGAAAATTTAATATTTTTAAACAATTTCCGAAATTCTGAATTCAAATAATGTGCATAAATCAGAGTTGAAAAATTTTCTTTTTTTTTTTTTAATTGTAACTTTAAATTATTTTTGAAAATTTGTTCTGAAACTGAATTGAAATCTTGAAAATTTGTCTCAATTTAATTCGTTGGTTTAAAAAGAAAAATTATTGATAATTATTTCTGTAAAACATTCTTATTAAGGAATTAATAAATTTTATTTAATTTCTAATAACAAATTGTTAATAATAATAAAATATGTATTAAATAATTAAATTTATTCAAAATAAAAAAAATGAACTTTTTAGACTAATTTTGTACACCCAAATTTTTTATTTAAACCAAATATAATATATTTGCGTTGAATAAACGTACATTTGTCTCACATCCTACTAGCCCATTTATTTGGAGTAAATAAAATTTTTTATTTAAATCAAATAAATATTTATTAGGGCTGTGAGACAAATATACCATTTTTCTGTGTGTAATGTAAATCGACTAAAATGACTTTTTTTCTTTTAAAAATCGAATCAAGGCCCACAATTATAAAAATGTAAGACAAAAATTTTTAAAATCATAAGGTTTAAATTGAAACTTTCAAAAATTATAATTTTAGTAGCATTTTTAGAAATTTGATATTTTTCCAGTACTTTTCATAAAATTCTCTGATTTCTCTGACCCAAATTCCTGTTTTAAAAAATTATTAAAAATTGAGGAAATGAAAAAAAAAAAAATTATTAGAATATTTTTGAATTTAAAAAAAAAAAAAATACAAACCTGCTTTTTCTTGACAATATAATTTTTGGTGGCATTATTGTCCCAAAATTCAGAGCCATTTGTGCGATAACGCACACAAAATTCAATGACATTCGACTTGGCAGGTAAGGTCAGACTAAAGCGAAAGGTGTCGTAAAGATTTGTTAACATTTGCTGATGGGCGGGCTGATCAACAAAATTGCATTGCACGTCTTCGTGTGTTGTCCAAGAATCTGTACTCACTCTTATGACCACTTCCTTGTCATAAGAAAGATTTTTAACCTTCACTGTGCCCATGAGACACTGATCAGCCTCACGAATAATTACATTCTCAAGACTTACTGCATCTTGATCCAATTTTCGTCGATACGTTAAATAATCACTGGCAGGTGGTGAAAAACACATTTCCCATGGATATTGGCCATTTGTTGATAATAATTTTTCGCTAAATTCCAATTTACATTGAAGAACTTTTTCAACAAATGTATTTGTCCATAGGGGTGGTACATTACTTGGTTCTTTCATAACGCGTACCTGAAATTTTAAAAAGAAAAAGGGTTAAAAATTAATTCAAAATTCGACTTAGGGTCAACCGGGGTAAATCCGAACGCTTTTAGTAAGTTTCAACAATAACATAAGTTTTTTCTTTAAAAAAAAAATACTTCCGGTATTCTGGTGCATGAAGTTGTTACTTTACTTCCATAGAACAATTTTATGGGGTAGCAAAAATTTTTGATAAATTACAATCGCAGGAAACTTAGCGTTCGTATTTACCTCGATACTTTGCAACTTTCCTAAAATATGGGGGTAAATATGAACGCCACTGTATTTCAGAAAAATCTTAGGGAAAATAAATTTAAAGTATTGCAATTGTTAAACTTATATAAAAACTCAAAAAAAAGACGATAATAAACCTATTATGTAATAATGCATCATATATAAATACAAAAATCAAACAGGTTAAAAATTAAAATGCATTACACAATTAAAACCTTTAATAACTTTATCAAATCATAACGGATTTTTGCAAAACTTGTTACAGAAAGTATTTTGGAGTGATTGAATGTAAATACAAAAATAAAAGTGAAATTTTTTAAATTCAAAATGGCGGACTTTCCTAAAACTTATTTTTAAAAATGATCAAAAATTCGTAATAAGCGACCCTGAAACCCCCCGAGTAACAATTTTCGAGCGAATCCAATGAATTTTTTAATTCTCGTCTGCCATTTTGAATTTTGAAAAACTGACTTCAAATTGGTAATTAGCGACCTCAAAAACCGTAGAATACCAAATTTTATTAAGATCCTGAAAAACTTTTTTCAACAAACCATTTGGCAAAAAAATTGAAACACTCCTTCGAGAGAACAGAGATTAAGTTTCTGCTTATTAATTACTAACGAGGATACGTATAGAAAGAAAAACTTTTTTCTATGTACTTTTATAATGTTAAAATAATAGTGTAATGAAATAAAAACAATTTTGTGTGGCTCTGATGTAAAAAAAATTATTGAAAATACCGTTCGGATTTACCCCGGTTTTCCAATTTTCCTGGGTAAATACGAACGGTCTGATATTATTAATAAAATTTTACAGAAGGCAAAAATCAAATATAGTTTCTGTTCTAGTATTCATAACAAACAATTATAAATAATAAAATGAATTTTTAGCTTCTTTTTCTTCAAATACGAGACAAAATACTGAAAGAGTAGTGTCATCTTTGATTTTCAATCTTTTTTGCAATACTCGTTATCTTTGTTTATGCTGTTGCTAATTAACAAACAAAAAATGGGATAATACTTAGAATCTCTTGAAGAGGATCTGAGGTAAAAATTCTCATATCGAACTTATTTTTAAAAATTTTAATTAAGCTGAAATAATTAGCGTTCGGATTTACCCCGGCTGACCCTATATTTTTTTCTAGTTTTTTTTTTTTTTTTTTTTACAACCATCAGGAAAAATATTTTATTGACGTTTATTTATTTTACAACTGCAGATCCCAAAGTCCCTGATATGGACTAATTAAAATTTAAATTTGTAGAAAATAAAAATATAATTATCACTTTGTCCAATTACAATAAGGATTATTTTTACATCAACATTAATGCAAATATCGCTCTTATGAAAGAAACTAAAGTGGTCCCTTTTCATGCGGACGTACACATATTTATATTATATTCATTTGATTTTAAATTTTTAAAAAAAATAAATTTTTAAATATTATTGATTGAATAACAAATAAATAATAAATAATCATAGAAAAATGAAAATAGAGTAAATGAAAAAAATTTGTAAAAAAATTATTTTTATGAATTTATTATAATAAGAATCTATATTAATTACACTGTATATTAAAATGATTTATTAGTTTGTTATTTGTATTATCAATAACAAACTTGACTTTATAAATGAAAAAAATGATGAGTCAAAATTTTATTTCTAATATTATATTAAATGCCTTTCGATTATTTTCATATTGTTTATTTTCTGTAAGCAAGGTTAATTGTATTTACTACTTTCATTATCAAATTTTTGAAGTAGTTTCAAATTTCATGATATTTTAATATTATTTTGGAGCTCAGTTATAATTGAGATTTTGTACTAGCAACATATTATATTTATTTCAATCTTGTGCTTAGTTTGTGAACTTAATTTTTAAGTGAATTTAATTTAATAATTTATATGTTTAAAAAGAAAATGGAAAAGAGGTACTTCATCTGAAATATTATTTATAATTTTTTTTTAACTTTACCTGAAAAATTTTATAAAAATTAATTAAAAAATGATTAATTATTAATTATTATTATTATTAGTAAATTACAATTCAATTATTATTTAATAACAAAAAATTTATATGTTAATAAATTATTTATAGTAATAAAAAATTACAAATAATTAATTAATAATTAATTACCTATTATTTAAATTTACCGTCAATCGAAATAATAATACCATCGCAGGCCATCGAGAAATTTTATACATTGTTTTTTTTTTTAAATTGTACCCATTATTTAAAATTAATTATTTTCAAAAATTCGTTTTGCAGTGTGTAAATAAGTATAAATAATGTATATTTTCCACAGAAAAATTTGTTATTATTTTTTTTTAAAGACTATCTACAGAAAATATTTCCTATAGATAAAACAATACAAAAAATAATTTTTATGCTATTTTACAGATAAACAAACTTTAATGGGTATATATAATAGTTTCAACTGTGGCAAAAAAAAAATTTTTTTGTTGTCTAACTTAAAGAAACTTTTCAGAAGGACGTCCAGAACATAACGCAATATTAAATTTTTTTTTTTTTTAATTCTGAATTTTAATGGCATATTGAGTATAATATACAGAATGATTTTAATGTTCCCTTTTTTCTTGTTGAAAAAACGAAAAAAAAATGAAATTAAAAACAAATTTTTAGTGGGTCCGGAACATAAAAATGAAATTGTATAAAAAAATAGCATTTTTGTGGGTATAATTACCCCGATTGACGGTTATTTATAAAATGTAACAAATTTTTCCAAAAAAAAATTCATGTATTGATGTTCAAAAAATAAATAAATAAATAAAAAAGGGTCAAAATTCAAAACAGAAAATTTAACGTAAACGAAGGCCATTCACCATTGTTAAGAGAAAAAAAATGTGCGTAAAAATCAATTGTGAAATCTCGAGTGTTTATCTCAAGTAACATTAAATTGACCTTCTCTTATTGCTTATAAGATATTAGAAAAGAAATACTTTCTTAATATTTAAATTTATTTAAATTTATTCAAATCTAATATCTTCGCAGACTGACTGAATATTAATTTAGTCAAGCTCAGATTTATATGTTCAACGACCTTATACATGGTTGGGGGGGCTTATAATGTCCCAAAATACATTTTCTATTTTTTAAATATTTGAGTAAATATTTAATATTAATTTTTTTTTGTAAACTTTTACTTTATAGATTTAAAAAAAATTAATTTGTGTCAAGTGTCACTCATATAACATAGAAAGTTTTTCTTCAAAAATTTTATAAACCGGTTTTTTTTTTTTGATAATTTTAAAATACAAAAAAAATTATATTTTTTTAAAAATTTATTTTTTTTTAAATTAAAAAATTTTGTTAATTCATATTTTTTGTTAGAGTAAATAAAACATTTATTTTTTGTTTACAAAATTGATTTTATAACTATCAAAAATAATTTCTATTTTTCATGAAAACATGTTGTTTTTTTTTTTTTTTTTTTTTTTTTAGAGAAAATTGAAATTACCTCAGTGAGAGGACGTCCACGATCGTCAGCAAATACCACTCGTTTTTTTCGTTTATTTATAACATCGTGATTGTTTTTCAATAAACCATCCAAATTAAGTGACCCAACAGAAAGACATGGACGTATTCGTGGTGGTACCGATCTATTGGTGATCGGCGGTGTTTTAACCATTAAGGAGCTGTATAAAAGTGGATTATAAACCGGGGGACTATGTCCCAAAATCAGCTCCGCTGGCATCGTTGCTACCGAACACATTTAGATCTGAAACATGAAAAAAAATTCCATTTTATTAAAATAGGTATGTAATTATTATTATTATTTTTTATTTATTTATTATTATTATTTTTAGTTGGTATATTCAAGTTACATTTTTCAATTTCCTTTTTAATATTTTTTTTTAAATAAAATTTTAATATTGCGAAATGTCCCTTACTGGAAAACGCTCTCTATAATATTAAAAAAAAAAAAAAATTTTAACTATTGAAAGTTGGCTTTTTGTCCAACTTTCACCAATCAGCGTAATTTTTAGACATAGTGGCGAAAAATAGTACTATATTGAAACTATAGGACAAAAATGGTAAACCACGCCCCCAGCGAACATCCAAATATATATGTAATTTTAGGTTATGTTTTGAAATTTTTAAGTAAAAATACACAAACCGAATTAACTCTCATTACAAATCATTTATATTTAAATCTTCGCTATACGCCCAAAAATTATTCAATAAAAACTAATTTTGATTTTATATAATTAAAAATGAACGTTTAATAAAAGGTAAAATTATTACACATAACCTAAAATTTTTTGCTTCTAATGTCCCTTTCACCGTGAAGCGTCACATACCTATATTTTATATTTTTTTCAATACAAAAAATATTTTATTATTATTATTATTAATATTATTATTATTATAATAATAATTATAATTATATTATATAATATTAATATTATATTATTATTACTATTATTATATAATAATAATAATAACAATCAATAATTATAATGAATAATATTAAATGAAATTATATATATAGCGCTATTTAGAAGATATTTTTGATTATTTATTTTTAAATAGAAATAAAAATATTTGAAAAATGAACAATGTTTGGTATTAGAAATTGAGAAACAAAAGTAAGGACACCTTGATAATAAAATGCGCATCAATAAATTATTTTCAACGTCCTCATTCTAAATTTAGAGAGCAAGTAGTGATATAAAAGGGGTCTTTGGCAATTATGGGTCGAAAATCTTAAATAACTAAACCATTGGAGTTAATCCAATGCTTATATTATTTTAAATGCAACTATGATAAATTTTTCTTTCTTTCTAAATGTATATATAATATATTTATATACATTTAGAAAGAAAGAAAAATTTATCATATATATATATATATATAAATAAGTGAAAAATTTATTAAATTTTATTCATTTGGTTATTTAAAATCTTTAAAAATTTTTTTTAATAGAAATTAATTTAATATCCATTAAATATAAATTAGTCACTAATTCTGTATGCTTTCACAGTGAATATATATATAGACGTTATAGTATATATCAGTCAATTTTTATCACGTTAAATCGTTCAAAATAAACTATTTTATCGGCATTTGGCAATTAGTATTCATAATTTTTTTTTTAATATTATAAATTTTAATTAGTGCACAGAAAATTTTTTTTTTTAGATATAAATATATATATTTTTTATTTACTATTTATTTTAAAAAGTTTTAAAGCTCACTAAATGTACTATCTATATTAATAAAATCAGACTTTTGTCTGTACATTGCTCCAAATTAATTTTTTCTTGCATAGTTTATCATTTTAAGTAGTAAAGATAACAAATATGCCATAAATAAAAATTCTGTCTGTCTGTCTGTCTGTCGTCAATATTTTGTACCGGCACAACATTAAAACGGCTCAACCGATTGAGGTGAAACTTGGCAGTGTATTCAGTCTTAACGTAACTTAAAATCTTAGCCATATTTGATTAAAAAATATTAACATGAACCAAAGTTATGACATTTTTTCAAAAAATTTAAAAAAATCAAAGAATGCTTTATTTTTTGTCAGATTGATTTGAAACTATTTGTACCTAATTTTTTCACATAAATACAATCAATTTTTTTTATTAAATTAAGTAAATAGTCTGAATTTAAAAGTCGATCTAAATCAAATTTTTGAATTTCCAATTTTTTTAATAACATTGTAATATAAGAATTCGTTATGTTCAAATTTTTATAAGTAAAACAATAATGTTTTTAGTCTGTTGGGTATTAAACGCAATCTTAGCTGCACACCAATGAAAAATATTAATTTAAACAAAAATATGACACTTTCAAAAAATTTAAAAAATTTAACATTTTTTATTTTTTGATAATTCTTTACTAAACGTTATTTATTTAAAATTTTGTGACCAATTAAGTATGCTTTTAACAAGAAATTTTAAGAATTTTAATTTAAGAATTTTATCAGAATTTTAAAATTAATAATTGCAAATCTGAATATGAAATCAGATATTGTAAAAATAAAAAATCGAAAATTACTTTTTTACTCTTTGAAATTAACAATTATTATATTTAAATGATTATTATTATTGAATATTATTATTATTATTATTATTATTATAGATACAAATTATTTTTAAATATAATAAAACTAAATAAACTAAATAAACTTAAATATAATATAATAAATATAATAAAATTAAATTATTTTCATTTTATTTAAAAGAAATTTTTCTATTAAAAATTTATTCTTCAAATAATTTTTAAAGTTTTTTAAAATTTTAATTTAAATTGTATTGATTAAAATAATTTTTATTTTCAATACTATAAAATTAAATACAATATTTTAAATTATTTTAATTTTATTAAAAGCAGTGAAAAAATTAAATTGAATTGAATAAATAATAATTAAAAATTTATAAAAAGATATTTTAATACAGGAGAACACGTATAGTTGGATGTAATTATAAATTTCAAAATTTATTAAATCTAAATATTATAACCGTCGAAGACGGGTGCGACAGCTAGTTTTCTATATAGAGAAATAAATAATATATGTTTAAAATTTTAGAATTTTAATGATTCTTAATTTTTGAATTGTCATAACTTGCTTAAAAATACATCAATTTTAAAAGTTTTTTTTTTTTTTTTTTGAAATTGTGTCTTTTTTTACATGAAATTTTCGAAAATTCGATGCAAAAATTTCAGAAAAATAATTAATTATTATATTTTTTTTCAATTTCACTGAAAAAGATTTTGTACAGGAGCTGCTTCAAACGAAAAATATCTATATTCAGTTAACTTCAATCATATAAAAACTCACAGTTAATCTAAATATTAATTATGAGGGTAATTGAATATAGAAATTTTTCGTTTGGGGCAGCTGCAGCACAAATTTTTTTTCGAGAGTTAAACATTAAAAAATTTTTTTTTAAAAACTGTATTCATCGATATTTGTTGAAAAAATTAAAAAAAAAACTACTTAACTTTTACAAAGTAAGTACTTAAGTACTTACTTATTTACAAAAATTTTAAGCCATGTCAGATCGTGGAGAAACAATTTTTTTCAAAATTTTGAATTTTTTTTTAAATTTTAACTATTTTGAATTAGTGACTGACTTTTTGCTTTTGAATTAGTCAAATTTTACTATGATTTTCGCAAGCAGTACATTAAAATACGTAAATATACGTACACTGAAAAAAAAGTTATTTATTTTACAGAATAAAATGTGACTTTTTATGTTAAAATTTAAAATTTATAATTATTAATGTTTGAAGCTAATTTGTTCTTTTGCATCGAATTAGTTGTATCAAAAAACTTAGAAAATTACTAAGAATATGTCAATCTAATATATATTAAAATATAAAAAATATTCAAAAACTACACATTCAATTAATTTGAGCTCGAAATAATGCTCGGGTCTACTGGACCCATGATGTCAGTTAAGGGTTAATCAAATAAATATTTATTTATATCAAATAATTATATGATTTGGGTCAATTAAATGGTATATGGGCATATCTTTGAAACCTTTAACTTTTCAATAAGAAAAATTTTTTTTTTTGTTTTTGAGCACAGTATTGAAACTCTGTCTACATAAACTTCAAGAACTAAGCTTTCCAATTATACAAGTGGACAGATAAAACAAGTTGTCTTCAAAAAGTTATAAATATTTAAAATTGAAAATTATTTTTAACCTGTAACAAAAAAATATTCAACAGGTGTTTGCTTTTTAGGATAAAAAACAGTTGAATGGAATTTTCTAAGGGGTTATAATTTTAAAAAGCAATAAAATTCGTTTAATATTTTCAATATTTATATGAATAATAAAATACTGAAATAATGCACTGGGTATAAAAGCATGTGTCAAAAATTAACTAGATATATATAAATTTTTTATTTGAATATTTACATTACATTTTAAAATAGATTTTTATTATAGTGAATTGTTTTAAAAATGTAAAATTGTAATTTTTAAAATTTACCATACGATTTTCATAGACTTTTTTCTATTTAAATTTAATATTCGTAAACTTTCCAATTTCTTTTCTCTTTTTTCCTTTTCTATTTTTCTTTTCTCTCGCATCTTATCTTTTTTCAGAATGAATTTTTTTGGATCCATTTTTGTGTCTCGAAATAAACCTTCAGGTTTTAATAATTAATGACAGTTTCTATAAAAAAAATTATAATCGGCAACTTCGTACATAACAATTTCTTTCTAAAAAATTTCGGTCGATTACGGTCGACCGTAATTGATGAATATTTTTACATTATCTTTGCAATAAAGTATTTTTTCTCGAAGCACATTCACGGGATGTTAAATGGCACATGTGAAAATATATACAAGTACTTTTCGAATACTTTTATATGATTTTCATCAAGTATCACTCGTATTACGGTTGTTTTCAAATTTTGTCCACGCGTGTTTTCGTTTATTTAACTTATAATAGTTTTTTGAAGACATGAAGCACATCAATTTATTATGTCTCAAAATAATTATAGTAACTTGATCTTTGATTTCCCATAAGTTATTTTAACGTGCCGCTTGTCTTATAAAAGAAAAATCATAAATACGATGATTACGGTCGAAAAGGTTAAAAGTGAGGGACAACTTTTAAAAGCTTATAAATTTTTTCACAATTAATAAAATATTAATTTCCCTGCGAAAATGTGTTTACCGATTAATTAACATTGAAAAAACATATTTCAGAATTAGTAATTTTTATTAAATCTAAAACTATATCGTT